TCAATGCACATGATAGGAAGAATAAAGCGATTGAAATTTGGCATTTGAAATGTCTATAAATTCCGATCTTTGAAGACAGAGACAGAGAAAGAGCGAGAGAGACAGGGCGAGACGAGAGAGCTAGAGATAAATTAATTAATCCCATAATTTCCCAATACCTTTAAATTTCAGTCATAAAGGCGCGAAAAATACGAGATACTTCAAGCAACAGAGCTTTAAAGGGGTGGTGACACCTCACAGGAGGAAGATCAGTCGCAAGTTACAAGTTCTACGCACCCAGTTAGTACGCGATGCAACTATGTAAGGGTGCATTCGGACAGTATGCTTTAAAGGAACAAAAAATCATTGGATTCGTAGAATTTAGAGAGTTGAGGCGAGAGAACATGTCTTTTTGAGAGAGAGAGAGCAGAGGACAGAACGCTATTTAGCATCAAGTTTTAAATAAAAATACCTTTGCATAATATACATTCGCCGAAAGCACCGAGATTTTTTCCTTGCATGAGAAAAGTGATTTTAGAAGGGCTCAGACCGGAAGCTTTGCGACGACAAGTTAATCTTGATTTTACGGTAAAAATATAATTTTCAACCCTAGAGAGTGTCAAATTCGGAATCAGCGTGAAATTTTACATCTAGTGCTTTGTAAATAAATGCAGGCACGGCTCTAGAACGTCGGAAAAATAAAGCTTTGCGTAGAAAAATGGCTTCTTTTATGGCCTACTGTAACAGATAGCAATGACGAAAAACACCATTTTTACGGCTATAGAAACAGGCTAGAGAGGCTAGGTATGACTAGAGAAAAAGAGCAAAACGGGAATAGCGAAAAGGGAATGGATGGAGGGTTAGGGCCCTCTTCGGGTCCCGGGTCACGCCCGGTGTGGTTGGGTACCCCCTTTCTCTCTCCGTTTGTGGGCCCTTCCCCCCTAGGGGATCTCTAGATCTCTAACAAACACCCAACAACGGGTCCTTCCTCTCTTCCACCCCATCATCAGCTGTTTTCTGCAGCTGCCACCCCGGAATAGAGAGGCCGAAGGGCCCTGAAAGGAGCCGCATAATTACATTCCGACGACGGGCCGTTCGAAAATTCGCGCGCTCCCGGCGGGAGGGTGGTTTTTTTGGCGGCTTGGTTAGCTTATTAGGGGTTTAAAGGGGCTATGACACCAAAAATTTTACTTTTTTGCAGACCGGGTATTGACAGCTGCGTGCACCATCAAAGAAACATAACAATAAAACCTAACAATGCCAGAATTTTAAAGGAGCTAGGAATTATAGTCCACCCTCCAAGTTGACTCCTGGCAAACCGTCAGACCCGCTCGCAACGCGACCGCGCCTCATGTCTTCATGTTTGTATTTGCGCGTGAAAATACGCGCGTTTGGGAGTCCTGAAGCGGCTTCTGGGATCCTCAAGTCATTTTAATCATCAAAAAATTTTTCAGCTTTTGAGGTTGGCCTGGGAATCACCAAGTTTGAGGAGAGAGCAGTTTGCTTGGCATTACGATATATAATTCAATTGGTCTGAAAATATTGATTTTGCTAATATTGAAAAGACTAGTTTTTCTCGAAAAATTGCACGTTTTGCAACGAAATCAGTTTTCGGTCATTTAGGCTGCGACCTTTTCGCTTGTTACGAAAAGGTCCGAATCACGACTGACTTATTAGCCCCTTTAAAGGGATTGTATGCAAGTATCATAACTCGCTAAAAGAAAAGAGATTGTGACAACTTTTTCGCCATTTCGAGCAAATCTTCTCGGACCTGTATCGCGGCTCTCCTTATTTATACGTGCGCGAGGCCTTTCTCCGGAAGTGATTCAGCCTAGCACTACAAAATGACTGCTCGTGTTTAAAATTTAGGTATCTACGATTTCAGGCAGCGCCTCCAAATCTCCGCAAAACTTCCCTTCCAATCGGATTGGCTCCAGACGCGAGTCATCTGCATTTATAAGGTTAAGCGACAGCGACAGCAGAAATTGTGAAGGGCAAGTGAGAGACAGATTTCATGTTATTGATGGAAAGGCGTGCATTTGAAAGCTTTAACGCTATTTCGGGGAATTCCCAGGCTTTTGCAACCATTTTAACTCCTTCATTGTTCAAAATTGGCCAGAGATCACCGGAGAAATTGGAGAAAGTACGATATCTATATCACGCGCGCCGAAAAAGTTGATTTTCTCTCGGACACCGGTCGTTCTTCTAAAAGATTTGGAGGTTGTCGGCCACTAAACAGATTTTCTGTGCGTTTCGGCAATGATCACTTTTTTTGGCGGCATTCTTTTGACCAATATTTCCGATTCCCTCACACCGAATTTTGACTTCCTAGTACCTTTAAACGGAAGTTGAAGCCCTGTCACGTTTTTAACTAATTCCACATCCCCACTGTTCATCGAAACAAGCTTGTCCTCCTCCTGCTGCCGGGCCCGGTACATTTTGTGTATTCCCCTGCAGTGTGGGTTGCTTTCCCGAGATAGATAATACGCTAGTAGACGATGTATTGATGGGGGGAAAGGTAGAAGAGGTAGTAGAGAATTGATGGGGGAGGGGCAACTCGCCGTGGTTGAGGTCGGCAAACAGAGAAAAATTGTTCGCGATGGCCCCGGCCCGGAAAATGGAGCTATGGATGGGGGGAGGGGGAGGCTGGGGTTGACCACACACGCACTGGCAAACCGTTGCTTTTCCGTATAACGTCATTCTCGTGATCGATAGCTATCTATTGTTGGTGGGTTATAAGCAAGTTCTCGAATCTGGGTTTTTCTGTCAAAAAGCCTGCGCATTTGGCTACTTTTTGGCACTGGACTCTTAGCAGGGGGGATTTCGAGCGGTGGAAACTATTTTTTGGGTTTTTTTTTCTGCTTATATTCCCTGTTAATAATAAATAAAGTATTTTGTAGTGTTTTTAGCGGTTTTTATTGCTAAAAAGTTATTAGGCCTAAGGTAGCTAGCAAAATATTTTTAAGGCTCAAATTCGAAAATTTTGCCCTTTTTTGGTGATTTCGGCATAGCTTGGGAAAGTCAATTTTTCCAAAATTGTTTTAATTTTTTTGTCAGCTTTTTATAGCTAGAAACTCTATATAATTCCATGAAAATCGTTTATCTATCGTTATAGCGCCGTACTTGGAAAAATCCCCCCGTTAACAGTCTAGTACCAAACTTTATGTGTTTACGCTTAAAAAAATAGGTCAGAAACACTTTCGCTGTTTGCATTAAAAAAAATTGTGCACGGCAAAGATAAAATAAACCCGATTCCCACTGATACACCCCCCCCCCCGATAACGTAAAAGAACCGATTTCTAAATTCTCCAATTCCTAAATCCTCTCTGCTAGCTTGCCCTTCAATTTTCAAATATTCTCAGCGAAGACTCGATTTTGCAACTTTTTCGTCAAAAGCCGTCTGATGAACAAAACACAACATCGACGCCCTAAATGTACAGTCACCCTCCATCGGCAATGCCTGTATGCTAGCATTAAACGGTCTGCGCCCCTCCATTTAATAGCCGATCTGCCCCCCTTTCACTCACAATGACGATTATCGTCATTTTGGGCAAACATTTTTGCCGGCAGAGCGGAGCAGCCGGGCCCGCCGCGCATCGCCGCCAATCGATCTTGGTTCAGCTGGAAATGAGCTGGAATCGGGTTTTGCATTTTCGCAAGGGTAATTGCTAACTTGCCGTCGCTATGGTCCTTTCGGCACTTTTTATAGTTAGGTTGAACTACGCATAAATGATCGGGAACCGTCAGAATGCCGGCAGCGAAAATAAAGACAGGCCAAAATCCCGACCTATTCTTGACGCTAATTTGAACGCTACTGGGTTTTGAGTATCTATTTTTCATGTCGGGATTTTAGGTGTCGCTATATTGACTGTCGGGATTGTCGATGGGATTCCTTCATGACCCTTTCTTTCCAGCATGATCCCGGCTAGCTTGCTCTCGTTTGATCATTTGCTTTTATGGCATAGAGCTGGGTCAGATATTTTGAATGCCGATTTCCGCATTTCTCAAAAAATCTCTGCTAGCTGACCTATTAACTCTGTACTTGTTTCCCGAAGAAACTCTGCTAGTTTGCTCTGCTCTAAATTTGCAAAACATTTCCTGCAACGCGTAAATGCCGAGTATCAAATTCGAGTAAATACCGACAACCCAAAATCTGAAAAGTAAAAGTACCGACACCCAAAATCCCGACAGTCGACGCTAGTTCGAGCTCAATAGCTCCCATTTTGTATTTTCAGGATTTTTGCTTGTCGGTCCGTGTGGCCGGTCGGGATTTTGGCTGTTGATGTCTTGACTGTCAGTATTTCGGCTCTCGGGATTTTAGTTGTCGGGACTTTGGCCGGAATTCATGCGTTGCATTAATGCTGTATCTGAAATTAGCTGCTTAACAAATTCTAACCATCGGAGCGATCTCTGTACACTCCCTGTGTACCTGGGCCTTTTTCTCTTCCCCCATTTTCCGCTTCGACCACGCGCCGACACAAATTACAGCAAACGACGCGGGGTATGTAGGTGGGTAGGTTGACATAGACACACACAGACCGTTATAACCCGGGTAATCCCCCCGAATCACTTGCCCCATACTGATGTGCCACTCCGACCCATACGATCCTGTTTTTACCCATCGATTTTGAGCCGCTCCATTTTTTTCCACCACCTCGTCCTCCCTGAAAACAGGGCCAGCTGACGGCGAGCGGGATGGTTATGCAAATTTTTGGCGACCTCGATTATGCAAAGTGATGTTTGTCTCTTTGAGTCTGCTAGACTGGGCTAATCGGCTTGTGGACAAGCGGCTAGACTAGCCTAGGCACTTTTGAAAAACTACAAATATTTTTAGGAGGTATTGACGTCTCTCTCTTACGCTCTCTCTCTCTCCCTCTCTCGCCTTCCGTTTCTGCACGACCGTATTTTAAAGACCACGCCCCTTACGGCCCAAACTCTGGCCCCTGGTCCCATTTTTTGGCCTAGTCTACCATTTGTTTTTTATGACTCCTACTCCTTCAAGTCTTTTTAACGGCTTTCAGATGGATCCGAATCCGGAATCAGCTTGTTCATCTACCGGGCGAACATGTGCGGTGTGTGGGGACAGCCCGGCAAAAGTGCACTACGGAGTGTTGGCGTGTTTTGGATGTAAGTTGGAGTATAGTTTAGTATCGTAGCGTACTACCGCAACGTACGCTACACAACTGACGTAACGTAGCGGCTCGTAAAGTACCGTAGCTTCAAGTTTTTGGTGCATCTTATCGTAACGCAGAGCACTGTAGCGCACGATCAATGGAAGTTCACGTTTTGAAGCGTAGTGAAGCGTAATGTAGCGTAGTGTAGCGTTCTCTACTGCAGCAGTGCAGCGTACTATTACTCAAATTGTCGTATCGTAGCGTACTGTAGTGGAGCGTAGCAGGCTGTATTTTATGCAGAGTACATCAGCGTAGCCTACCGTAACCTTATTATACATGTTCAGGCAAAGGCTTTTTCCGGAGAGCCGTCAAAGATGGACGGAATAAATACGTGTGCCGCTATGATCGCCAATGCCCCGTCAATAAGTGTAAGTCGTAGTCGCATTTTCGGAAAAAAACAAGCAAAATACCGTATTTTCTGACCCGAGTCCGTCGTATTTTGGCGTGCAACGGCTCACAAGGGGCCCATGGGGGCTTGTTTTGGCGTTTGTTTGCATGCAAAGGCCAGCCAGGGACCGGCCCTCAATTCTCCCCTAACTGACTCATCCGGTTCTCTGGAAAGCTGCAAAGATTCGGGTCAATGGTCAAATAGGCCTGAAAATAGGCCGGAAAAGGAACGGTGTATAGCACAAAATAGGAAAGAGAGAGAGAGAGAGGGAAAGAGAGGGAGAGAGAGAGTAGAATTTCTGTTATTGACCTCATATGTAAAATACCACAAAATCAACTCAGCTATTTAGACGAGCGGAACAGCTGCCGGTACTGCCGTTTCCGGAAGTGTCTACAAGTTGGCATGAACCCTGATGGTAATAGTTTAAATCCAGACAGAAAAAAAACATTCAAACACCATAGGAGGCAAAATTACCAAAATTACGTAACTAGTTCATTACTTCAATTCACTACGCTACGACACAATATACTACGCAACAGTACCCGCAAACTACGTTAGAATACAACGCACGTGACAGTACCGTGCACTACCCTACAATTCAGTACAGTACGCGTCAGTAGTTACGCTTTTTTGACATCCCTTACCTGAAAAAACCTCGAATTCAGCGGTACGCCCCGATCGTGAGGAACTGAAAGAGAAATGTCATATGCGGCCTTTGCTGTCGAAGAAGAAAAGCGTCACCAGGACGGCTTCCGGAAGAATCGCCGATGAGGAGGAGTGGACAAGGTTTATGACGCCGGAGCAGAGGTAAGCTGATCAAAACCGCTATTTTGCCTTTCGGAAATTTGTTCGGGCTTGTAAGTGTCGGTGTTTCGGCATTTTCCCCAGTGCGGCCATTTTAGAAGACTAGCTGCGGTCCCTTGTTTCTGTAAATCCATCACTTTTCAGGACGCTTCTCTTCCAAATGAATAAGCTGGAAACGGAGGTGCAGAACGCCAACGAGTACAGCTACGATACGGTGTCCGATTTTAATTTGAAAAGTCTGGTGGCCGATCGGATGCTGGCCGAAAGGGTATGAATTTTTGCATTTTTGGGCTTACGCAAGGTATTCGTCAGAATTCGTCGACTCGGCTCTCCACCTCGTCAGCACATTTGAATGCCGATCTCGGGTTGACGGCGATCTGGAGGATTGTCGGTGTTGTGGAATGGGTGGAAGGAGTCGTCAGACTGACAGAGGAAGGACGCCACATCGTCACGGTTGAGGACAAAGTGAGGAGATCGGGGTATTGAGCTGTTAGCGGGGGGGGTTTAACGAGGCAACAAAATAATCCATATTTTCCGCCTATTCCATCCTGTTAACAGTACATAAGTAGAAGTCATTTTTATCCGTTTTTGACAAAAATAAGGTCAAAACGGAAGAAAATTTTGTATAATCTACCGTATGCATTATTATAATTTTTTTTATTAATTTAGACGGCCCTTGTCGAAGACACCTTTGCCCAGCTGACGCTATTTTCCCTGGCCGTCCGGGTAGCTTTGAGCCCACATTCCGAACCCGTCGCCCTGCACCATGCCTTGCAACCATGTTCTCGGTAATTTGAGACAGAGAGCGAGAGAGAGAGAGAGAGAGAGAGAGATAGCGGGAGATAGCCGGAGACCTACCTTACGTTTCCCTACTTTTCCCTCTGCAAGCTGCTTCTAAAGCTTATATTTTCCAGAATTTTTGCTGGCGAAGCCATCCGCCGCCTCCTCTCCGAAGTCGTGAGCCCGCTGCGCAAGTTGGAGCCGTCCGATGCCGAGTTCGTGCTCCTGAAGGGGATAATTGTCTTGAACCCTGGTACGATAACAAACATGATACCAAAATTTTCCAGAAAAACTTCATGGAAAATGGCATAAAAGCATTTTTAGACGCTGCTGGCATCTGCAACGCTGCCTCGTCAAGCCTGCGCGACAAGCGGGACATGCTTCAGAATCTGCTGCTCAAGACCATCAAAAAGAGCCGGCCGAAGAACAACACGCAGCCGGGCAGCCATTTCGGGAACTTGTTGCTGTTGTTGCCACCTTTGAGGGTTTGTTCTCTCCCGTACTCTCACTCTCCCATTCTCTCTCTCTCTCTCTCTCTCTCTCTCTCTCTCTCTCTCTCTTTCTCTCTCACTTCTTCTCTAGCGTCTTAGGTTTGCAAATTTTTCTTCTTTCAGCAACTCGGCTGCGAGCTAATCAATCATCTACGTGCAAATTTCCCCAGGAGCGGCCCGGCGACGCCGTTCAAGAAGATCCTCTGCGACGTCTTCAACCCGGTCAGAAACCCGACCTTTGTTAAATTTTGGGCTTTTTTAGGTCTACGACGACCTGCTCCTACAGCGCGAGCAAGAGCGCAGCGACTCGGAGCAGACGGATGGTGGCGGCCAGAATCGGTAGCTAGCAGAGTTTTTTGGAATGAATCTGGGCGGGCAACTAGCAGAGATTCTTTGGGAACCTCAAACCGGAAGATAAGGATTTTGACCAAGCAACTAGCAGGGATTCCTTGGGAAACCTGAAACCGGAAGATAAAGAACTTGAACGCGCAACTAGCAGAGAATTTTCGAAGATAGGAATTTTGGGCGCAGGTAACTAGCAGAGATGCCTTAGGAAGCTAGCAACTGTTAAAACAACTTTTCAGTGAGCAATAGTGAAGATTTCGAAATTTCCAGACTAGCAGAATTTTTTTAGGAATTCTTATCAATTAAACCCTTTTCCAGGCCAACGCTCCAAATCGAATGCTCCACGTCGCAACCCCTACCTCCCACCACCCAACCCCAATTTTGTGCTCCGCAGGTACCGTATCTGGCTACAGTACCCTAAAATGACCCAATTTAGGCCCCAGCCTTCCGCCCTCCTCCCCATTTCGGCGGTCCTCCATCAACTTCTCCTTTCATGTCGGGATTCCCCTCCTCCATCAGCCCGTCATTTGGGGCTCAATCGTCGTCCTCCTCGCTGTGCTCCCCGGCCTCGTGCTTCCACACCCCGCCTCCGCTCTACAGACCATCGGCGTTGTCGCCGTTTTCCATGAGGTATGTTATATGCAAATTAGGGATAATACCTTGAAAATTGTTTTTCGACCCACCTTGAAAATTGAAATTCGATTTTTCGGCAAAATTGTTAATTTTTTGCGTTTTGGAGAACATTTTTAGATAGTTTTTCGCATCTGGGGAAATTTTGCTAAAAACACAATTTAAATAATTACTATTACATTACTAGACGTTTCTCGATTGTTATAAAATTTCGGCACCCCCCGATAATGCAAAAGCACCAATTCAAGAATGTCAGCCCGACGCTATCGTCAATTAGTTTCAGCGGCGATCTCGGCCATCCGGATCGCCCGACCTCGCTGTCCATTCCGAAAATCCCGCTCCACCTGACCCGCTCCATCGAGGAGATGCTCAAGCCGAATGGAAGTAAGTTATTTTTATGAAATACGTCCAAGCTAAGCTCAATTTCCACAAGTTCAACACCAGGTAAAAGCTCAAACGCTCAAAGGTCTCAAGTTCAACAAGTTCAGGGCACATTTTAAATCGCAAACCACGGTCAAAAAACTGCTTAGAAAAATGGAACGCAAAGCATCAAGTTCAACAAGTTCAGGATCGACCTTGCAGTTCTTAGTAACTGAAACTACGCTGAAAAGTTGATTACAATTTCAAGCTTCATGTTCAATAAGTTCAGCGTCGCCGCAATAGCTTTTTAGAAATTGAAATCGTTTAAAAAGTCTCCGCCTAACTCTTCATGTTCAACAAGTTCATCTCCCCACACTTTCCATTACATCTCCAATTTCCAGGCCAACAAGTCGACGAACTCAACAGGCCGCTCGCCTCCGACTGGGCGGATACGGTGGGCTACAGTACCCCGGTGTTCAACCGGGACGTCGTCTCCCAATTCTTCCCCGAGATCAACGCCACCCATACGTCTTTGTAAAGTTTTCAATGTGATTTTTTGTGGTTTTTTATTTTGTGTTCTCGTACCGTACAACAGCTGATACGTGCAATAAATAGTTTTCTTGTCAAACCCAAAATTTGCAATATCATAAGTGGAAAAGCCGGCGGGGAGATCCGGGAGATGAGCTTGAAAGTGGAGAAACTGGCTTAAATATTCTATGATTGAATTAGGGTTAAAGCCTGAGCACGAGCATTTTGAGCACGACCCGAATATCGTCGGTATTGGGATAGCGGCGGATATTTAGAATCTGGATGCAGCGGTGGTGGTCGACGTGACCGAGGCGTTATCCGGGGTCTCGGCGCGCTTCTCGATGGATTTGGGGGCTACGGTAGTGGTGGTGGTGGTCGAGGTGGCGTCGTCGCTCTTGCGGGCGAATCGCCGGAATCCGCAGCAAGTGGGGACTAAAATGGGCTGGTTAAGCTCTGAAATATACGCAACAAGTTCGAGCTATTCGGGTTAAATTAAGTTAAAAGAGAAAAAGCTGCATTAAAAATTAAAAAAAAAATTTCTTGCAAAGTGAACGCGTTGCGGGTGCGTTGCGTCAAGTTACTCTGGTTATCCCAACGCACCCAAGCTTTTAAAAATTTGTACAGTTGCGTATTATCCCTGACTCTATTCGAGTAGCAATCCCTCAACGACTTCAAGCAGTTCGGGCTGCCGCGTCAACGCTTCAGATATCTTGTCGAACACGACGCACCCGCACGCGCTAAGCACGCACGCGCTTTACCCGAAAACCGAGACCTCAACGTCTTCAAGCGGTACAGACTAACATCCATGCGTTGCGGACAACGCCTAGTGACCCTCGAAATTGTACAAAAAAAACTCACAGCTAGGCCCGCAGCACGGCGCGTTTTGGAGGAAGACCGGTGGGGGCAAGAGGGCCTGGAAATTACTCAATCTTTCGAGTCTTTATAATTTTTCTTACGAGTGGTGGCGGCGGGGCGAAGGCGATGCGGAGCGGGGGTGGTCCGCATGGTGGTTGGAGGCAGATTGGTGGGGTGGCGGGGCGAAGAAGATCTAGATGGGCAATGTCGAAGTCGCCGAAAAATCCGCAGAATCAAGGGCGGAGGAAAGCGACAATCCTGCTAAAACTTAAACGGTACCGGTGGTGGGGGCGGGCCGCACGGGGGCTGGAGGCAGAGGACCGGCGGCGGAGAGCAGGGCGGCTGGAGGCAGACCACTGGCGGGGGTGGGGGTGGAGGGACGAAGAGCACCTATCGACGGGTTTAATTCGGCGCTTACGTCTCCTAACCTGAGGTGGTGGTGGGAGGCAAGGGGGCTGGAAGCATGGTGGTGGGGGCAGGCAGGGTGGTTGGAGACATGGCGGGGGAGGGACGAACACCTGAAAGTAACGATTTCATAACCTACTATATTCAGGTATATTTTTCAAGAATTCGGTGCAAAATACCGTACCGGTCCTCCGCATGGTGGGAAGAGACAAGGCGGAGGTGGTGGTGGGAAGCACGAGCCACCGAAGCAGGGCGGCGGCCGTGGGAAGAAGCCGGGTGGTGGGGGGAAGAGGCCGAGTGGCGGGGGGAATGGTGCGGCACCCAGGGCTCCGGGTGGGAATGGCTGGAAATACGGTAGGTACAGTCCCTTTAAAACAGCGTGGGTAATGCCGACAGGCGAAAATACCGACAGTGAATACTCCGACAACTAAAATCCCGACAGAACAAAATCCCGACAGCAAAAAGCCGGAATCTTTTATGCGCCTGCCATGCCTCTTAAACAGCTATTTGCATGATGCGATTTTCGCTTGACGAGATTTTGGCTGTCGGTATTTTGGCCTGTCGGCATTATTGCTGGTCGGGATCCTCGCTGTCGGCATTTGGGTACTTCTTCTTTTTATCATAATAGAAAATTCAGAATTTTCCTATTTTAGGCTTCCAGAAATTTTTATTCTAGTTTCTGGCTCCATTTTTCCATATTATTCCGCCTAAGGAAAAATTAAACTAGTTAAGCTTAAAACTACCATATTCCTCACCAGTGGGCACGGCGGGACCAGGCACGGCGCCACAATCGGCACCTGTTGCGCGAAAATCGTCTGGAGTAGCGCCACGGAAATCAGAATCCACGGCAGCATCGTTAGCGGGGGTCTTCAGGTGGCAGTTGCCGTTGACGATTCCGTTTCCCGCCCCTTCCACCGCATTTTATACCCCGTTCCGGGCAGCCGGATGCGCGTCCTGATTGTGTGATGGATTGTGTCGGACACACTACACTTCACTCCACTTCACGCCCCATCAGCTAGCCAAATAGCGTGTGGACACACGCTGGCGCGGATCTTAGGGCCAGGGGGAGGGGGCTCTCAAATCCACGCGCGCCCCAGGACTACGCGACGCTCCACGCTTTCGACGTGTTTTTTGGGCAATTGGGGGGGAATGTCTCGGTGTGTTGTTGGTAAGGACACTCATATGCTTCGCGCCGGGCCTATCCACCCCAAAAATGAGTGCCCGTCGCGTCATCAGCTAGGTTCTAGCAAGCGCGGGTAGAGGAGTGTCGCGTAGTGCCCCGCGGTGTAAACAGCGTGTAAACAATTGGGAGGGCCTTTTGATTGAGCCGACGATTTTTCTTGGGCGGGCTAGACTAAAAAATGGCATGGTTAAAGGGAGAGGGAAGGGAAAATCTTGGGCACGATTTTAGGGGATTTTTCTTTTTTCTCGCACTTTTTCTGGCTCTCTCTCGTGCTCGCTCCCTCGCTCCCCATTTCTTATGTCAGTCGCTAGCGCGATAGTTTTCCTTCCTTTCGCGCTCTCTCCGTCTTTCGATATCTCTGGCTCTCACTCACTCCCGCTCTCTCATGCTCTCTCTCACTCTCCCACTCTCGCTCTATCTATCTCGATTTCTCGCCTTACTGTTGGGTCCAGCTTTAAGGGACGGGTAAGGCTGGTCAACAGGGAAACGCGAAAATACCGACAACCAAGATCCCGACATGTAAACCAGTCGTTTAAAGGTAGTGGCAACCAAACCAGCGTCAGGAATATCTAGAGGTTTTGGCTGTCGGGATCATAGCTGTCGAAATTTACGTGTCGGGATTTTTCTGTCGAAATTTTGGCCTGTCGCGAGTCTGGCATCTCAGCATGAGCGCTATCGCGATTTGCTCTTTTCGGTATTTTGGCTGTCGGGATTTTGGTTGGAATTCATTGATAACCTTTGGTGAAGTTCTGTATATTGTCGCCTATTTCTGCAATCTGGTTAACATTTATCCCGGGGTAGAGCGATGGATTAAAGGCATTTTTAAAGCACAAAAATACAGATGATGAGGGCACGGGTCTTTCTCGAGAGAGAATGCGACACCAGGGGGGTACGGTATCGAGACGAGAGAAAGCACAGTGAGTAAAGCGTATCGTATTCTGGAGAGATACAGTCGAGGGATAGAGAGAGAGAGAGGGAGGGCAATAGAGGAGAGGCCAGGTAAACAAGGTGGGTACATCCGGCTGGGGTATGACGTTCGTTTGTTCGTCGCCGAGTCGCAGTGTCCTTTAGGGTTCGGTGGGGCGGAGATGGCCGAGGGCGCGGTTGAGATGCGAGCAACGACGGTCGCACAGCGAGCCGAACCGCGTGCACCACGTCTCCGCCAAGTCGCAGAACCACGCCTGAAAAATGGGTTGAAATTTTGGTACTGGTGTGTTAGCGGGGGGGGTTTGGTTGCCAACTGCCAACCCAACTGTCACACTCCCTTTAAAGCAGCCTTCAAGTTAGTTCACCCACATCGGTGACGGTGTCGGCCGTGTAGAACCAGTTTGCCGCCGAGCGGAAGCCCTGGCCGATGAGGACGAGAATGTAGTGCGAGTGCGTCCACCAGAAGCGCAAGATCGGATCCAGCAGGTACACGATCGACATCTAAACGCATTCAACTCGGCCGTCCGCCAGAAGATTCTTACCTCCATGAGGCTCATCAACAAGTACAACACCAGGATGCCGATGCCGATCATCATCAGCGCCTAAATGGCGCTCTTGCTACCGTAGGGCCGCCTTGAATCTACCGGCCGATGGGAGAGGAACTCGGCAGCGCCGCGCGCCTTCTGCCCGCAGAAGCCGCCCAGCGAGCTCGTCAGCATCTTCACGTGCGGGTTGTCGAGCATGGAGGGGCGACGTCTGCAAGGAGTTCAGCGACCAGCCGGGATGTCCCTACTCAATGTGTTGATGCTGGTGCTGCTCGCCGTCGTCGTCAAAGACGAGGCTCGCCGAGTACTGGTGGTGCTCATTGTAGTATGCCCGTCTGGCGGTGGTGTTGCTCTGGTGCGACTGGCTCGTCGAGACGGCGTTGCTGTACGGGGAAATTCGCCTGGAAAACGGGAAATTGGCCGAAAAAATGGGAAAGTCAGGTCCTGGCACGTTCGCTTGAAAACGCGATGCGGCCGCTACGCATCCGGATTTGAGGCTGTTCATCTACAGCTGTGTAAAGTATACCAAACTACTCGCCAGAGCAATGCGCACATTTTCGTATACAGGGTGTCTCAGGATTATCCGGACAAAACGAAATAGTCATTTTTTCACCTTTAGCGCTGTTGTCTTTCAACCTAATGTATTTCATATGAGTTTTTAAGGCGTTTGCAATGTTCTGAGCAAAAAAAAATAATTTTTGAAGACACATTAATAACTTCAGAATCAAGCGAAGAACGCGGTAAGATTTTTTGCCTCTTAAATAGCACGAAACTTCGGGCAAGGGTTCAAAAAGTGTTCCGACGTTTTTCTGGACAAGATATGACGTTTTCTGGCAAAACGGACCTGTTTGCGCCAAAGTTTGGTCATGTCAATGATTATTTTCTAATTTAATATCAACTTCCTGTGCATCGCTGATAAGGGTGTTTCGAAGGTTGCTCGTGCTCAAGCTCCTCAGAAATCAAAGCTAACTTGGTCTAAATTGCTTGTACATCATTGTTACTGTAGCTATTTAGGTTTTTATCCTTTGAAAAGTATCTTATCGGATTTTTAGAGTTCTTCCGGGCTAAAACTTGTAAGGTTAATACGGCGGCGCGTCACTTGATTTCATCTTTTTGGCTCGCTGATTTTTTTCCTAGAGTCAACCTGACGTTTTTGGGCCGGGCTGAGCATGGACTTACTATTTCCGATCTCTTTTTATGGTTTCTTTGTTATGCCGGTTATACTGAAGATTTTTATAGCGTCGGAAACAGCATGCGTTTTGAGGGTTTGCCAGATGGGAGAAATTACGTTCAAACTTCTTCGATTTTTTACGAAGCGATATGTCATAGCCTCGCGAAATTTTCTTTGCCAGTGCCTCAAAATACCTCAAAGATTGTTAGGAGTGACAAGGTGTGCGCATAAAACAGGAAATAAATAGGAAGAAATGGCATTGAAAGTTTGTCCGGATAATCCTGAGACACCCTGTACTTTTTGCACCTGTAGATGAACAGGGAACCGAGATACAAACGTTGGATGCTGGCTGTGGGGGGCTGCACTCTAACCACGCATTCATATGCCACCTCCCCCAACCCACATCTGGCATTGGTATTCCGATGGTCCGCTCGGGCTGGTCGGCTCGGATGACCCGCCGCCCTCGCGGTTCAGCAACGACTCCAGGTAACTGAAACAACTATAAAATCCAGTGGCCAGCCCCCCCAAAAACGCGCCCCAACCACCGTACCCCGCCTCGTCCTCGCTGTGCGGCTCCAGGGCCTCCTCTGGCGGGGCCACGTCGGGCACCTCTTCGCATCCGGGAATGTCGTCGTTGCGACGGCGCAGCTTCCTGAATTTCCATCAATGGGCGAACAACCGAAAAGGCCCTACAAAACGCGTCGCTGTTTGCGCTTGTAAGTGCCCGTCTTGCCGCTCTTGTCGGGCTTCGATGCCTTTGGCTCCTTTTTGCTGTTCTTGCGCGGCTTGGCTCGACGGATGGTATTCTGAAAGAGGGCGAAATCGGCCGCAAGCGCGACAATGAGACTTTCTAGCAATCAAAAGCTACTACAAACACCATCAATTACATGGAAAGCAAAAAGTGATTTTACCCATTACTAAAGATCTCCGCCCCCCCGCTAATAGTCCAGAACAATAATTTTTCTGGACTGTTAGCAGGGGGGGGGGGCTTAAGTCTTAACTTAAGGTTAAGACTTAAGACTGATTCTATGTGGCATAGCCGAAGGATATAGCGGCTAATCTGCACACATCATTTACGTCAAACGAACCGAATGCTTCCGCCTGCGCCCCTTGCATCCTTCCGACCTCGACATCTTGAACCGGATGGTGTGGGGAGGAACGCTGGCAATAGTTGGTTTTTCTTGAAAAGCAGCCTTCCGGAAATATCCAAAATTAGCTGATGCAAATGCAGAATCTTAACTTCGGATTGTTGTCGCTTTTGGATACTCTATCGAAAAGGAATACCGAAAAAATAGCAGAATAATACCCAAAAATCTCAAAAATGTCGAAACCGAGAATTTCAGCTCTATTTTCCAAAGGTTATTTTGGTTTTGTTGTTGCTACAACTTTTTATGATATTATTTTTGAGCTGAAGCTAAGACTGAAAGTTTTTTGATGCTCTATTAACTGATGTCTTTTAAATCCCGAAAAACAGCGAAAACGTTACAAACCGCTTTTTCAAAGCCATATTCCTAAACATTATCTAAATCTTGTTTTACGAAAATTATTTTGCAAATTATTTAGGGTTAAACTCAAAAAAATAGAGGAGACTTTTACGCTCTATCGAATGGTGCGTCTAAAATACCGAAAAAGGGCAAAGAAAATGTCGAAATATTGTTTTCTAACCCGATTTGCCATGGTTATTCTTGTTTTTGCTATAAAACTGTTATATTACAATATTTTGAGCCTCAATTAAACATCAACCAGGGTTGAAAAGCCGCTTCGCGACCTTTCAACCCTGGCCCCGTCTGATCCGATGATATTCTGTATTTTGCATATTCTTCACGAATCACCCATGCCGAAAAATGAAAAACATCCCCCTTCTGTCCCTTTATATAGGCTTTCGCCACTTCCGGCGCATGCAAATTGCTTCCTAACAAAGAGGCGGACCCGGATTTTCATAAAAAGTAATTTTAATGTCGAAAATAGCACTTTTTGTATAATCTGATATGTGTGCAGTCGTGTCATGACCGTTACGCACCTTTTGGCGTATCAAACATACCCTTAACTTCCTCCCCTATCGAGATACGACTGGAACATAATGACGGAAGTTGCATGCAAAGTGACACACACACACACACACAAACACTATTTTTTTATATATAGTAGGATTTATGTTTTTCGATACCGTATCGAATGAACCAAAGCCGCAAAACCGAAAAATCCCGAATAGTATCCAAAACATGAAATTTTTTGAACCTTACGAGTCCCTTTAACCCGTCGGCCCCCCGTTCTCGATTTGTTATCGTTTTCGTTTTCGACCCTATTGGCTGGCATGAAGAGGGGGGGGGTCCAGGATGGCCGCAACCAACCTCCCCGCCGGCCAGACCAGACGTTTTTGCGCCCAGCCCCACCAAGCCGAGGCCAGCCACACCAAATTGCCACAACAACCCCCCCCCCACAAAGAGAAAAGAGACACAAAATGCGAAGAGACGAGATAGGGACCACCGAAAACAGGCCATTCAGATCAGAGGAACGGGGGCACACCCCCACAACAATCCCGCTCGCTCCGCTTCGGGCCGTCGGGGCCAACAACCCACAAGCTCCGTCGAGGGCTATATTTTGTTATTTTAGGTCCTGGTAGGTTGGAATAGTGAGCGAAGAGATGAAGGAAGCATTTTTCCAAAAAAAACCCGAAAAACTATGATAAGAGTAACTTGAGTATGAGGCAAGGGAGGGGTCACCTTCAAAAAGCCGAAATCCCTACTGTCGAAATTTTCATAAAATACCGAATCTCGTGAAATTCTACCAAATACCAGACCAAAAATGTCGACATGATGGATTTCGGCATTACTTGATCCCAAATTATGAAATTCGCGGTGAAATGTGACATTTTAGTCAAAAACCCTGTGTTTTCGAACTAAATGACAAAAATTCCGAGTTTTCCTAACCTGCCTGTAGTTGCTGCGTTGCCTGTACGGTTATTGCTCAATATTCGACTCTTCTAGCCGTCATACTGTCAATGCTAAACGCCGACATACAAAATACCGACAGCTAAAAGCCTAGCAGACCAAAATACACACAGACAAAAATACCGACAGCCCAAAATACCGACAAACTAAAGTTCAGGCAGGGCAAATTAACGACAGAACAAAATACCGACAGACCGCTGAACTGACAGCTCAAAATACCGATAGGCGAAAATACCGACAGACCCAAATCAAGTAGACAAATTATTGGCAGGCCAGAATTCCGACAGACCAAGGCTTGCCACTGTGCAAATTCCGTTTTACATTCTTGACGCTGGTCTGAATAGCACTTTTTTGTAATGTTTAGCTCTGTGCCGGCATTTTGCCTCTCCGGAAATGGCTGTCGTGGTTTTTTCTTGTCGGTATTTTACCCCGTCGGTATTTTACGTACGTTTTGCTTTTTCACGGGTGTACTGGCTTACTATACGATCTCTTATTCTTGTGTTTTCATCAGACAAAAATTAGCAATAAAATTTATTCGAAGTATCGAAGGAAATCGGGCATTGACCCCGTGAAAACCGGATATAGTCATGGGGAGGTGAAGAACTAGCGAATAACTAACAGCATTTTTCGTACAAAGGCTAGCGCTTAGCACGATACAAAAAAAATAGCATTATAAAAATCACAAAATAGCTTAGAAACTACAAAATTCGGATTACAAAACGAAATGGGTGGAATTGTGGAGGTGTGGAGGGAGTGGTGAGATCAATGGGAGAAGAGTTAGTTCTGTAAAAGACTGCAGCGGTGAGGGATTGCAAGAATATGTGAAAAATCCTTTCCGAAAGAATTCGGGTTGAATTACACGGCCCTTTAAGACCGAAAATTAGCATAAAATTTTAGACATAAAATAGAGGCGGTAAAAAAGACTAGCGGAGGTATGGCTATCACAAAATCGGGGAGGATGCAGACAAATTCGGAGGCGGTTACACGAAAAAAAATTGAAAATCGCGGTTATGGTATCCACAGGTTACGGTGGTTTTTGTCAATTTTCAGGGGTACTATAAATCGGAAAGCTACAGTAACCTGAAAAAAACTATTTTTTGCGTCGAAAAATACCGTAATCAGAGAAAAATGTTATCTTTTCCTCTAGTAAAACTACCGTTTTTCCGATTACGGTAGTTTTAGCGCTTTCTACCGTACTGTCGCTTCCAAAACCATACGGTATTTTCTGATTTTTTTAAATCGCGAAAATCAGCGAAAGAGAATCGAATTACTGTAGTTTTACGGTTTTTTCGAGGATACTGTAGCTTCCAAAAAGTTACGGCAATTTTCGTGATTTCTTAAAACTTGCTAAAACCACCCTCTTAGCTATCGTACTCATGGTTGTGGATTACTGTAATTTTCACATTTTTTTGAAGGTATTTTAGCCCCAAAAACCGCAGTTAAAAAAAAATACTAGATTTACATCCTAAAATGCACTAAAACCACCCTAACCAACGAGGTTTCAAACCGATCATTTAGATCGTCGACGTGAACAAGGGCTGGCGGGTCATCAGCTGGGTGAACAGCGGGTTGGACAGGCTGGCAATGGCCTGGTTGGTGTCGAGCGGGGGAGAAGCCGTGGGTGGGGACAGGGCCGAGAGGCTGGCGGTCAGCTGTTGCAGCTGGGCAGACCGCTGCAACAACTCCAAGATGTTCGGCTGGGGTTGGGAGAGGGAGGAGATGAGGGCCGACATATCTCCGCTGAGGATGGCCTGCATCAGGTTCTGCTGCTGGGGGAGTTGAGCAGCAGCTTGGGTGGCCTGGTTGAGGAGGAGGGAGGATTGGAGAAGGACTGATGAAGGGATCATGGATTGGGGGATCATTGAGGCGAGGATTTGATCGGCGGGGAGGGTGGTGGGTGGGAGAGAGGTGGGGAGCGAGAATGGGAGTGAGACGGTCGGGACCGTCATTGGGGTTACGGTAGATGTGGGGAGGTTGAGGGACTGGAACAGGGAGGCCGGAGGGAGCACGTTTGCGCCGAGTTTTCGGGCCACTGGAGCTGGGATGGGCTTCAAGACGGGAGCTTCTTCTTTCTTCTCGACTTCGACAATCTGGAAAAGCCGCATAAACTACCGTAAGCTAATTTTTATACAATTTTTCCGGTTTTTTTTTTGAGAATGGATTCTCTCTAACTCTCTCTCTCTCTCTCTCTCTCTCTCTCTCTCTCTCTCTCTCTCTCTCTCTCTCTCTCTCTCTCTCTCTCTCTCTCTCTCTCTCTCTCTCTTCTCCTTCTCTCTCTCTCTCTCTCATTCTCTCTCTCTCGCTCGCTCTCTCCCTCTCTATCACTCTCTCTCTATCACTCTCTCTCTCTATCACTCTCTCTCTCTCTATCTCTCCCTACCAACCTCAGTCGGGGTCAATTCCGGCGCATCTTCATCTGCAATCAGCACACTCATAGGCGGAATCGTGGGTAGCGTCACGTAGCGTCCTTTCTTCTGCTCCTTCTCCCCATTGAGCTTGATCCGGGGCAGCTGGGCATCCGTCTAAAAATCCACCATTTAAAGAAACAGTAAAGTAGGACTCAAAAAAATTGCAAATCATAGTTATGCTCGAATTTACTCTAACTTTCCAAGGTTGTGCAAAATCGCTCGATCGCCTCGCTTTATGATCTCCTAATACCGAATTACCGTACACCCCCGCGTGGCGTTGTATTTACAGGTGGCTACTGTAGTGTGGAGTGCATGTTGTGCCCTTTACCCCAAATTATTCGGACTTCCCCCCTGGGAGTGCCACAAAAATGCGACTACTGCAAAAAGCGAGCACCACTCTCCGCGTAGAAATTTTGTTTTGGTGGTCTTCCGATATTGGTTACACTTTAGTGCACGGAGCGATCAGCATTTTTGCAAATCGCGTAGGGAAAGGCTTAGGCTTGGCTTGGGATTGGTCTTAGGCTTAGGCTTAAGTTAGGCCTAGGCTTGGCTTCAGCGTAGACTTTCCTTAGGCTTAGCTGAGGCTTGGGTTAGGCTCACTTGGGCTTAGGCTAGGGGCTTAGGCTTAGGCTGGACTTAGGCTTAGGCTTTTCTTGGCACAGGCTTGGACCTAGCCTTTGGCTTGAGCTTAAGTTTGAGCTTAAGTCGCTCTTTGTTGCGTCAAAAAAAGCCAAAATACCCACCGACGACACGAACGTGTGCGCCCTCTTCCGCTGCTGAACTTCAGGGCTGGCTTGTCGGCAAACGGGGAGCGACGCCTTGCGCTCCTTGTCCTCTCGGTCTCGCTCCTCACGCTCCTTCCTCTCAGCGGCGCACTTGGCCTTCCAGATGTCGTACGACATGACCGTCATCGCGCCCATCGACATTGAACGTGACTCGAGGCCGCTCGGCGCCTTGGAAGAGCTCTGAAGGGGTTTTTGATTTTGTAAATTGCGTTTTGTTTTCAAATAAAATAATATTTGTAATTTTCTAGCGGTTTTTTGGATATCGACAAATTTCCACATTTTTTTTTCTGCCTTCCCAACGCCTTTAAAATATACTCCAAAATGCGCCGCTTACCGGTTGATGGCCGTTGCACATGGACATGACCGTGTCGGGTGAACAGGTTCCGCTTGACGGGGTAGATGAGGAGCCGCGGCCTGAATCTGAAATATAGAAAGAGTCTACAGAGAAAGAGGATAGCAATTAGGACTCCTAATTTAGGAGTATCGAAGAGTCAAAATAGAGACAAACTCCATCCCGATGGTCTCCTGATAGCTGATAAGAACCGGAAAGGCCGGAAGCCGCGTGGAAGGGGCGGAAGGTTCGGAATAACTTTTTGAGGGAGGGAGAGCTATAGAGAAGAATAGATTTTGACACCCGAATAGGGTTCCGTAAAGGTTTTACGGGTTAGAACTAGGCTTCAAAATACACTAAGATTCAATCCGCTACTATACGCTAGCTTCCCTTGTAGTGCATTATATTCCGCGTCAGTACGCCACAATAGGCTTCAGTACGCTGGATCCGCTATGATACGCTCGCCTCCGATTGAAGACGATGCAATCCGCTACAATACGCCACAGTACGCTACAGCATGCTACATTCCAACACAATTATTTCGTTCTAGTACGATAGCTTCCGTAAGTACGCAAGGTCCCGCTAGAATCCGCTGTAGTACGAAGCGCTACAAAAACCTAAATTGATTTACCGAATGCTACAGCTCATAACCTATAAAATAGGTAATAGGAAAAAAGGAGAAACGGTTCAAATTCGGGTCAATATCGTAAAAATTTGGCCAAAGCCGGTGAAGGCTGTTTTTTGCAAGCTTTCAAGTCGGTCCCAGTGCCTTCAGTCCAAACGTAGCTAAGTGTAAGACGGAATCCAAAAGGCCAAGTGGCTGGAACTGCCCGGGAGTTGCCCGGGATGGTCCATGCACTAAAAACAGATTCCGCCGACCCATCCGGGTGGACCCACACACCTACATACACGCCCCCCTACGCAATGCGTCATCGCGTACGCTTGGCCCTGCCCCCCAGGAGAGAGAAAAAGAGAGAGAGAGACAGACAGACAGACAGACACTGAATTAGGAAGAGGAACAACTAGAAAAGGAAAGAAAAGTACACCCGCCCTCGCCTTGTTTGGGCTGATACCCCGGGTGGGTGGTGTGCTTTGTGAGGTACCCCGCCGGAATCCCAATGGTTTGTTTGTCGCCCTAGGAATTACCATTTATGTCTGTCTGTCGGTCTGTCGGTCTGTTTTCTGTCTGTCTTTTTGTATGCCGCTTTCTCTCACTCACTCACTCACTCACTCACTCACTCTCTCTCTCTCTCTCTCTCTCTCTCTCCCTTTCTCTCTCTCTCTCCCTCTCGCTATCCCACCCAGGGCCAAATGACGCGCGAAATATCCACTCTGGAGAGGGCCAATTCCGTGAATGGAAATTGACGGGCTTAGCGGGGATAATGAGTTGAATCAGGTACCATATCTAGAATGGAGACCATGGGACAGTAATCTTAGGTATATTTGGGCTGTAGCTTACTGAATTTTGCAATTTTGTGGCTAGAAATAGTCAAGTAACTTCAGAGGGGAAAGAGAGAGAGAGAGAGAGGGAGAGAGAGTGAGAGAGGGAGAGAGCGAGATCAAGAGGGAGAGAAGGAGAGAGCGAGAGAACAAGACAGTGAAAAATCTGCAGAAAAAATTCATAAGCTTTGGGTTAACTGTAGTAATTACGGAGAAACATGACAAAACAAGAGGCTAAAGCGGTCTCTCCCTGGGTTTCTCTCCCTCTCTCTCTTTCTCTCTCTCTCCCAGCTCCTCAAATTGCAATGACAAAACTAGGAAGACCCCCTTCAAAAATGTCGAAACTGTGGCGATGTTTGCTCAATAGAGGGCCAATGACCGGACCTGCCAGGAAATCGGTTTACAGATAGTCCTCCAGCATACTTTGTGCGGCCATCGGGCTGTGTTTAGCACAGTGATGGAAGGCGAAAATAAAACAGGGTCCTGCGGGATCAACTCGAGTGACTGGCCCCATGTTATTCACGCGATTTCGGCGGCGGGGAAAACCGGGAAAAATATGCCACAGCAAAATATTGGTCTCGGGTCCGTCGGGTTCACACGGGGTTTTTTAGGATAAAAAGATGGGAAATTGGGGAGCTTGGCGACAATTAATGTTTGGGAATTTTCGAATAGTAGTCGTAGAATTAGAGGAAATGGTAGGCCAGCAGGGATCCTTTGGGGAACAAAGTGATAAAGCTCGGAGTCTTTAGGAAGTGGTCGCAGATAGGGGAAAGAGAGAGAGAGAGGTAGAGAGAGAGTTAGAGAGAAAGATAGAGAGAGAGAGGGAGAGAGAGACGGAGAGAGAGCGAGAGAGAGCGAGAGAGAGAGAGAGAGAGAGAGAGAGAGAGAGAGAGAGAGAGAGATGGCACGCTAGCAGAGATTCCAAAGGAACTCGACCATCCGAGGCAAACTGGCAGTGATTCCTTAGGAGTCAAGTTAATGAGGGAAACGAGCAGAGAATTTTTAGGAATTACCGCTGGCCTAGAAAATCGCATTGAACGTATAGAGCTCGCGGATTCAAGACAAGCTAGCAATGATTCTTCTGGCGCCGAGGCCAATGGCAAACGAGCAGAGAACTTTTGCGAACACGACGAAACCAAGGCCATCTAGCAAAGATTTCTTTGGAAGGAAAAACCTCTAGGAACTCTGGCGAAATCCGTGGAGCCTCAGATCTGTTTGATCGGGCTTTATGAGCCGGGGCGGGGAGTGTGTTTTCAGCAATGGTTGCGGGTGGTGTGTGGTATTTGGAGGGTCTGGTATCAACGGACCGGGTGGAGAGGGCGGGGAGGAAGAGAAACGAATGGAGGAGCAGAGAAAAAGAGAGAATGAGGAGGAGGGGCAACAAACTAGGGGCCATTGGACCACAACAGAGCGCGGCGCTTGGGCAGGCCGTCTGCACCAGCGACCCGACCCGGCCGGCCCACCAAAAACAGTGCTGTTTCTTTGGCTGTCTGTGTCTCTTGCTCTTCAATGTTCTCTGCCAGTTTGCCCACTCCTGGGGGATCCATTGTGGCACAACATGGCCCACCAAAAACAACGATCAAATGGCATGAATCAGGCCCTCGATTGCGAGGGAAGGGAGGGAAAATAATCTGAAAGCTTTTGAGTTTTATTGGTGTAGAGAAGTGGGTGTAGCTGACTGGAAGGAGGATTGAAAGCTTTTTAAAGGGACCGGCAAGGCAAAAATGCGGAAATTTGGGGTAGTAGAAATGGGACACTAGTTGGCCTCCTGCATAGTCGAAGAAAATCGGTGAGAGGCAGAAAGCGAGAGAGAGATACAGAATGAGAGAGAGATAGTGCTGGAGAGAGCGAGAGCGAGAGAGCGTGACAGAGTGAGAGGGAGAGAGAGCGAGAGAGTGAGAGGAAACACAGAGCGAGAGAGAGTGCGAGTGAGAGCGAAAGAGTGGGAGAAAGCGAGAGAGCGAGAGAGAGCCAGAGAGAGCGAGAGAGAGCGAGAGAGAGCGAGAGACAGCGAGAGAGAGCAAGAGAGCGATACTAAATGATATCAGCGGTGATCTCGCTAAAAGCCTATCCGAACCTTGCGCTCGAGATCCGATTGGCTTTTGGCCACCTCCTTGAATCTAAAATGACCCCCCCCAAAAAAAAACGGTGAGCAGCATAATGGAGAGCAGGACCGGTACCCGGAAAAGAGTGAAGTCCCCGTCCCGCAGAAGTGAACACAATGAGGGGGCGGGACCTGGCCGTTTTTTGTATCTATTTTCTGCTCGGGACCACCGGAAAAAGGCCGAGTTCGGAAATCACCCGGGGAGACCATCAGGAATTAGGGGAGATGGGAGGCGATTTTTGGTCTTGTTATAATACGGAAGTATACGGTAAAAAAGGTCTTCAAATTCTGTGAAAGATGAGGCAAGAAACTTGGTTTTTAAAGGGACTCGGCTGACAAAATGCAACATTTTCGGACGATCAGAAAGGCACAAATTGCATAGGCACTCACCACGGTCGTGCTCCCCGCGTTTGTGGGCCATTTGGGTGGCGAGCTGGATCTTTTCGCGGTTGCGCTTGTTGAACGACTTCAGCCGCTTGTTCATCAACTTTTCGCACTGTAAAAATTATTTGAACATTCGCTAAACTATAAAAAAGCGTCATTAATGCAAAGCCACTTACCGATGCGCATTGGCACAGAATATAGGGGCAAATGGGGGCGTGGCCTTTCAGGATCACTTGCTGACCATGGCCTTCACATCTGAAAAAGCGAGACGGGTTATGGTGGTTTTAAAGGCCCGGTGAAGTGCGGGTAAGATAGTGGATACGGTATTAAGACTCACTTTCGGCAATATAAGACACGGCCCTTGCCGGAGGAGTCCGAGTCTTCGAGGCCGGATTTGACCGTCATTCGGTCTTCCTCGTACATGGGGCAATCGTTTTCCGTCATTTTTGGAGGAGTTTCTGAAATTGTAGGCTTATAGCGAGAGGGAGAGAGAGTGAGAGAGAGAAACATTGCGAGAGAGCGAGAGGTATATGGAAAGACAGCGAGCGAGAGAACGATACTGAACGAGAGAGAGAGAGAGAGAGAGAGAGAGAGAGAGGGAGAGAGAGAGAGCGGGGGAGAGAGCGGGAGGGAGCGAGCGATAGAGAGGAAGACAAGCTTACAAAACGAAATTGTTGCGTGCCAATAGATACAAATTTGGAACTTGATAGACAGGCAAAAAATCCTCCGATAAATGGTCACTTTTCGATCCGCGTTGCCGGGAAGCTGGGGCGATAACATTTTGGGCAAATCGTGTGCCCGGAAAACAGAAGATTTCCTCGGTGAGATCAGTCGTGATCAGATGATTAATCTGATCACGATAATCAACATTCTTCGATTCCTCCCTTTGAATTCAGTCAATTCAAGCTCCCTGCAATTCACAGTTTTCGGGTCCAATAATTATCACCCTCATGTTATTTATTAAACACCCAGCCTAACCTTACCATTTTGTACGCTGACTTTCCGCGGCGTGACGGCTTAACCGGAAAAGTGGGAGAAACGAAAGGGAAGGCTCTTTTTGTTTTGCCTTTTCTTGTTCTCTTTGACGGGGGGGGAGTCCCCTCCCTCGTGCAGTTCAACAATCCAAAAACCAAAAAGTCACCGCCCCATACACCAGCCCCGCTCCGGTGAGCGGTCAAAAAGTGCGGGCCGCCCGCTTGGAGCAATAAAAATAGCGTCATGAGGGAGGGAGGGAGTGAGGGAGAGAGAGAGAGAGACTGAGAAACCACCGTATACGTTTAAGTAAATCGTTTATTCTTGTACGTTTTTAACTTTGGGTTCAAAATTATATGCGAGCTTGCACCTAAAAGTTTTCAATGTCTATGAAAATCTACCAAAACAACTGACTGGACTACGGTAACACTGGCATACGATAGCAAAAAGCGTTTGTTGTCTCTATCGTAGCATGTTTTTCTCTCCATTTCCGGGTCCAAAACAATTCTACAGTTTCCAATCCGGCTCCGTGCGGCCCGAAAAAACCTGGTGCTCGTTTTTGAGCTTTTGCTCCCGCTGAAGCGCACGACAAATCGCGAGCCCCAATTAGCCGAGCGCGAAAGTACGGTGGCCCCCCTCCTCCGGAATCAAAAATTCGCATATTTTTTGCAAAATTCCGTTGCATTCCGGCAAATCAATAATTCCGAATTCCGGAAATCGCGTAATCCGGATCAAAAAGTGTTTCGATGGAAGGGAGGAAGAGCAAAGCTTTGCACCAAAACGGAGCGAGATAACGGGTGCTACCGATTTCGGGAATTTCGTATTGGTGCGGAAAATTGGGAAGCAAGAATTTTTGAGAGAGAGAGAGACAGAAAGAGAGAGAGAGAGAGAGAGGAAGTGTGAGAGAGGGAGAGAGAAAGAGACCGGGAGGAGAGAGATCGGGTAAATAGCGCTCTTAGGCTCAATTTTCAGGAATTCCGCGTTGCTTCAAATTACGTCAACGTGGTGCAGATTGTACAGTTCCGGAATCAGCGTTTTACCGCTTTTTGGAGCTACCAGTAGGAAAAATAAAAGCCGATCTGTTAAGCCCATCAATGCGCGCACCAGAGCAGGCTAGCCGGGATCATTCTGGAAAGCCGAGTCGATTTCCCTTAAAAACCAATGAACTTGGCCAATTTCGAAAAATGGTGCTGATCATCCAACGGTGGGAGGGATCAGATTTTGGCGAAGAAATTGGGGCTGGGCGCCGAGGGGGAGGGAGAGCAAAATATTGGTCTGAGCGGCCGCGTGGTGGTGTGGGGGGGGTTGTGTGTGTGAGATGGCGGCTCTTGGAAGGGGGGTGCTCGGCTAGTTCAACGTGCCATGAGTTCAAACATTCAAATCGGTCAGTCACAGCCCCCGTCCCCCCCCAACCACCCAACCAACCATCAGATCTCACCAAACTGTCTAAATTCTTTACTTTCTTGACCTTCAAGTTTAGCAGTGGCGGTTTGGTCTTACGGTAGCACATTTATATTTTAGACGGGATCCGCTGAACTCAGATTACTAAACTCTGGCTAGGAATTACGAGTTGATACGTTTCAAGGTAAAGCGTTAGTACGAGTCAGTACGCATCGATCGATACTGACTAAGTACGCATTTTTCGCTTGTGGAAATCCGCATCAGTGCGTGGACGACCGCAGTGTAATGCAGTGTAGCATCGCGAATCGTGGCGTAGTCGAGCGTAGCGTTGCATAATGTAGCGTTTCATGGCTTATGGTAGCGTACGGTAGCGTAGAATAGGGCAGCATAGCGTAACGTAGCGTAGGTGTGGCACAGTGTGACGGAGCGTAGCGTAGTGTGATGTAGTGGAACGTAACGTAGCGCCGTCACGGGTAGCCCAAGATGATCATCACACCATTTGCCGTCTAGCCTAGCGTAACATAGCGTGCCGGAGCGTGGCGTAGCATGTAGCGTAACGTAGCTCTACTTCTCTACCTGGCTTCCAGCCGCCTTCATGGTTTGGATTTGCCGTAAGTGCGTTCCGATACTCCTTACGGTGCTTGCTACGCTACAATACTTGACGGGTTGTCACAACTTTACGCCAGGAGTAGCTACCGTCTACCGTAGTCCTACAGTATCCTATCCCATCACGCACAAAAACCACCCAAAACCAGATCGCAACGTGCCGAATGGTGCTTCAACCCCTTTCCGGGAGTTCCGGAACTCTTCCCAATTACCGTAATCTCGCCGGAACCGGATCTGAGAAGAAGGAGGCGCATGGTGTCGGCAAAGTTCAGCACCATCCCAAGGGCACAAATTGGGGGAATTCCAGTTTCCACCAGTCATCTTTGAGCTCGTTTTCGGCTGGAAGTGCCTTAATTTTTATGGAGCTTACGGTAGAGTCTTTCGGATACAGAAAATTTTATCACATTTCCGACTTCTTAAGGGAATACGGTAACCGTGGCTTCTTCTCGAAAAGTGACCTTTAAAAAGTGCCTATCCCTGGTTACGGTAGTCCGGATTAAACTTTGTTTTGGCGGCGTGTTAGAACCTCAAGACGTGCTATTACGTAGGCAAACCGGTTTCCGAAAATTGCTACCGTATACCTCAAAAGCTTGACAAGTGAAAAGGTGCAAAAATCAAGTCAAGCCTAGGGCGATGATACCCTGTAGGATCTAAACCTAAGTACCACCGCAAAAATTGCAAAAAGAGTTATTTTCCACTGTTAAAAAATCTCGAAATCTCCATAAAATTCGCTACCATACGCCAAAGTGCAAGCGGAATGAAAAGTTCAAAAATGAAGAATTCACGGATATTACGGTATGCGGAAAAATTCAGCTCATATAGTAAAATATGGGCAACATTGGGCTACAGTACCCCCGGGACAAGCTCTAAAAAGAAAAACCGGGGAAAACCGGGCTGGCTAGCTGGGAGAGGACACGCGCTGAGAGATCAAAATGTTTGTCGTGCGGGAAAGAGAAGGGAGAGGGAGAAGGGAGGGATACTTTTTGCTCTCTATCGCTTTTTTTTCCTCTCCCCCTGTCTCTCGCCTCCCGTTGTTCGGCCAGCTTGGCGGTTTGATTTCTTGATCTACACGCACGCCGTCGAGGGGGGAGGCTGCCCGGTCAGGATCCAAAATGTGTCCCTGCTTCCCCCATTTTTCTTAGGTTTCTCTCTCTCTTTCTCTCTCTCTCTCTTTCTTTCTCTCTCTCTTTTGCAAGCACTAAAGCACCCCCACAGTTCAGCCCCCAGAACGTCATGACCCGGCGGTTTCTCGGGGGTTGTAGAGGAAGTTCAAATTGCTGTATGTTCAGGCTAAGGTCTGGCTTAGGCTTGGCCTAGGCTTGACTTAGTATCACTTAACGCTCAGGCTTAGGCTTGGGCTTGGTTTTGGGTTTAGGCTTAGGTGGACTTAGGCTAAGCCTTGGTAGGCTTGGGCTTAGGCTATAAGGTTAGACTAAGGCTTAGGCTTAGGTTTGGGCTTGCTATATGACGACCCAGCCACCGTACCCAGACCCTTGACCTACGATCATACATTATCTGCCACATCCAAACCATCAATCCAAACCGAAAAAGTTGACTTTTTGAACTCTTGCCCCTGACCGGTCCGGTATCCGCGTGCAGCCGTTTTTTATCTCGTGCCCCCAGCGCTACCGTACTCCGAATCTTTCTTGGGGGGTTTGATATCCGCGCTACTACGCCCCCCAAGAAAGGATGTGCTTTTTGTGGCTATCCCCCCGGTCAAGAAATCAAAGTGTGTCGCGGTCGGGTAGGAAAAACCCGTGCTCGGCCATAGGAATGTTCCGGAAAGGGCGAAAAAATGTCACAATGATGTTTGGATGTACGTAATAACTACTGGAAAAACAGCGGTGAGTAGAAAATGTAAAAAAATAATCTGAAACTTCCTTAAAAATTTAGAACAATCGCACCCATTAAAGGGATGCCGACGGCATAGTCAATCGGTTACGCGCTGGAAAGAAAATGTCTCTGCGCCTCTCCCCTGGGCGCGCTCTCTCCCCTGTTGGCTACTTGCCAATTTGTTGATGGGGGGGATCGACACATGCCGTCGGCAGCCCTTTAAAAATATTTTAAAGGTTTGAAAAATCCATCTGAGGTCGCTTTAATCAAATGAAATAAAAACAAATAAAAAATACCTTTGAAAATTTACCTCCCACTACGCGCCACTCCAATGTACAAAAACCCCGCTGCAAAAAATTGATTACCCGTCTAAAATGTGGGATGTTGCGGTATTATGGGGTAGCTTCCCGGGCTATAAATGTGCATAGGGAAATGTAGTAGGACACAGACTTCACTCACTGTCTCGGTCTCTTTCTCTCTCTCTCTCGCTCTCTCTCTCTCTTTCTCTCTCGCGCTCTCTCGCTCTTACTCAATTTTCCGTGCAAACCAACGTACACAAGGGTGGCCGCGCTTTGTCTACGTGAAAGATTGTAGACCACGAAAAATGGCGA